TATGAAATATATTTCAAATATTCCACAGTTATAAGAATCTGATTGTCGGCATTGTTTTCTAGAAACAATTCTCAATTGTGACGTGTCTATTTTTTTCGAGCGTTTCTTTCTTTCTTTCGGATCCAGGAAAGAGAATGTTGACTCTTGAAAATCAATTATCATCAAAGTGAAGTGACTGCATGTTGTGTAAAATAGGAACGATATTCACTTTGGACGAAACGTCATAGAAAAATTCGACTTGGAAAAATTCGGCGCATATAGTGTAACAGGATTATACATAATGATTTCAGATGTATATATGGACCAAATTTTGATATTACCACTTCTTATATTAGGATCATTGACCATCAAATCGGTTGTGATGTATAACACAGTATTGGATATATAAAGATGTTCGTTAAGTGTAACGAAATCCTCAATTGTAAGGTCGAAAGTACAATCATACCTCGCAACTACATAATTTCCTATATGGGAAGAGTTAACATAAAAAGTTGGATCCTTAACGATTTAGGTATTTTTTCATTATATGCCATCTGTTTAGTGACCAAAAATTTTGCCAAAATATAGTAATCGCCCTGCATATTCATGGTGACTATCTGAAAATCCGTCACAAGAAATACTTAGATGAAAAAAAAAATTTCTTAAAACGACTTAGGTATTTTTTTATTTGATGTCATCTGTTTAGAGATCTGAAATTCTGCCAAAATATACTCATCGACCTGTATATTCATGGTAAATATCTGAAAATCCGTCACAAAAAATACTTAGATGAAAAAAAAATGTTTGCTTATAACGATTCAGGTATTTTTTTTATTATTAGATGCCATCTGTTTAGAGACCTGAAATTCCGCCAAAATATAGTCATCGCCCTGTATATTCATGGTAACTATCTGAAAATCCGTCACAAGAAATACTTAGATGAAAAAAAAAATGTTTTTCTTAAAACGACTTAGGTATTTTTTTATTAGATGCCATCTGTTTAGAGACCTGAAATTCTGCCAAAATATAGTAATCGCCCTGTATATTCATGGTAACTATCTGAAAATCCGTCACAAGAAATACTTAGATTAAAAAAAAATGTTTTTCTTAAAACGACTTAGGTATTTTTTTATTAGATGCCATCTGTTTAGAGATCTGAAATTCTGCCAAAATTTACCCATCGCCCTGTATATTCATGGTAAATATCTAAAAAATCGTGACAAGAAATACTAAGATGGGGAAAAAAAAGTTTTTTTAAAAACGACTTAGGTATTTTTTTATTAGATGCCATCTGTTTAGAGACCTGAAATTCCGCCAAAATATAGTCATCGCCCTGTATATTCATGGTAACTATCTGAAAATCCGTCACAAGAAATACTTAGATGAAAAAAAAAATGTTTTTCTTAAAACGACTTAGGTATTTTTTTATTAGATGCCATCTGTTTAGAGACCTGAAATTCTGCCAAAATATAGTAATCGCCCTGTATATTCATGGTAACTATCTGAAAATCCGTCACAAGAAATACTTAGATTAAAAAAAAATGTTTTTCTTAAAACGACTTAGGTATTTTTTTATTAGATGCCATCTGTTTAGAGATCTGAAATTCTGCCAAAATTTACCCATCGCCCTGTATATTCATGGTAAATATCTAAAAAATCGTGACAAGAAATACTAAGATGGGGAAAAAAAAGTTTTTTTAAAAACGACTTAGGTATTTTTTTATTAGATGCCATCTGTTTAGAGACCTGAAATTCCGCCAAAATATAGTCATCGCCCTGTATATTCATGGTCATTATCTAAAAATCCGTCACAAGAAATGCTGAAAGATGGGAAAAAAAAGTTTTTCTAAAAATGACTTAGGTATTTTTTTATTAGATGCCATCTGTTTAGAGACCTGAAATTCTGCCAAAATATAGTCATCGCCCTGTATATTTATGGTAACTATCTGAAAATCCGTCACAAAAAATACTCAGATGGAAAAAAAAAGAGTTTTGCTCATAACGATTTAGGTATTTTTTTTTTATTAGATGCCATTTGTTTAGAGACCTGAAATTCTGCCAAAATATAGTAATCGCCCTGTATATTCATGGTAACTATCTGAAAATCCGTCACAAGAATTACTAAAATGGGAAAAAAAAGTTTTTCTAAAAATGACTTAGGTATTTTTTTATTAGATGCCATCTGTTTAGAGACCTGAAATTCTGCCAAAATATAGTCATCGCCCTGTATATTCATGGTAACTATCTGAAAATCCGTCACAAAAAATACTAAGATGAAAAAAACATTTTTGCTTATAACGATTTGGGTATTTTTTTATTAGATGCCATCTGTTTAGTGACCTAAAATTTTGCCAAAATATAGTCATCGCCCTGTATATTCATGGTAACTATCTGAAAATCCGTCACAAGGAATACTTAGATGAAAAAAAAAGTTTTTCTTAAAACGACTTAGGTATTTTTTTATTAGATGCCATCTGTTTAGAGACCTGAAATTCTGCCAAAATATAGTAATCGCCCTGTATATTCATGGTAACTATCTGAAAATCCGTCACAAGAAATACTTAGATGAAAAAAAAAAATTTTTGCTCATAACGATTTAGGTATTTTTTTTATTATTAGATGCCATCTGTTTAGAGATCTGAAATTCTGCCAAAATATACTCATCGCCCTGTATATTCATGGTAACTATCTGAAAATCCGTCACAAGAATTACTAAGATGGGAAAAAAAAAGTTTTTCTAAAAACGACTTAGGTATTTTTTTATTAGATGCCATCTGCTTAGAAACCTGAAATTCCGCCAAAATATAGTCATCGCCCTGTATATTCATGGTAAGTATCTGAAAATCCGTCACCAAAAATACTCAGATGGAAAAAAGTTTTGCTTATAACGATTTAGGTATTTTTTTATTAGATGCCATTTGTTTAGAGACCTGAAATTTTGCCAAAATATAGTCATCGCACTGTATATTAATGGTAACTATCAAAAAATCCGTCACAAGAGATACTAAGATGGAAAAAAAAGTTTTTCTAAAAACGACTTGGGTATTTTTTCCGAGATTTTTTCATTAGATGCCATCTGTTTAGAGACCTGAAATCCTGCCAGAATAAAGGCTCAAGTTTCGTTTAGCTGAAATCAGTTATGAAAAAACTGTTGCTATGACAATGATCGTCATAGAAACGAGTAAACAGAAACCCGATTCCCGTGGTGAGGAAATGCGTGGTTGCCAAGTTGTATCGGGTTTAGTATAGCTGAAATCAGTTATGGAAAAACTGTTGCCATGGCAATGATCGTCATGGTAACGAGTAAATAAAAACTCGATTCCCGTGGTGAGGAAATGCGTGGTTGCCGAGTTGTATAGGGTTCAGTTTAGCTGAAATCAGTTTTAGAAAAACTATTGCCATGATGGCAACGATCGTCATGGTAACGAGTGAACAAAAATCCGATTTCCGTGGTGAGGAATTGCGTGGTTGCCAAGTTGTATCGGAGAATTATTGCTTCATTCATAAATATCTAAAACACTTCAATGTAACCATCCTTCGCGTGCTGAGCTATTCGACAAAATCAAAAAGAAACAGAGCCATTTTGGAATATTCATTACGAGGTATCGCGCAGGATATAGGAAGAGAGACTACAGGTACTGATTGTCTAATACATATGGAAACATCTCGTTAGCCCCACCCACATCTCCATTTGCCTTCATTTCGATTCACCCATACCTTTCTTCAGGCGCACATTTTGATTCAGCAACAGTCTTCGAACATACACGAACGATGCCTTGCTACCAAATCTGAACGATGTTGGAAAATATATGTTTTTCAAGAAGAAGGTTGATTCAAGTCGAGTTAGGTTAGATTGTTTGGAAAAAGTAGTGTCCTTTTCTATGCAGTCTCCAAACACACACGAACGATGCCTTGCTCCCAAATCTGATCGATGTTGAAAATTATATTTTTTCTAAGAAGGTTCATTTGAGCCGAGTTAGGTTAGATTGTTTAGAAAAAGTAGTATCCTTCCTTATGCGCTATTTGTTCCTCACTATTTTGTCGCTCGCTATTTGTTCTATAACAAAGCCTATTTTTTCCTGACGTTATATCCATTTATGATCGTCAGAGAAGTAGTAATTTTGGGAATTAATCAACGACGAACAGTCTTCAAGAAATTGATAAGAAGGGTATTCATTCGAATCAAGTTATTGTTTGAATACTAGCAAGAACTTTTGTGGAACAAAATTTGAGGCTGATTTCAGCTATACTAAACCCGATACAACTTGGCAACCACGCATTTCCTCACCACGAAAATCGGATTTTTGTTTACTCGTTACCATGACGATCGTTGCCATGGCAACAGTTTTTCCATAACTGATTTCAGCTATACTAAACCCGATACAATACTTGGCAACCATGCATTTCCTCACCACGGGATTTTGTTTTCTATTCACCTGTAACCATGACAACGGTTGCCATAGCAACAAATTTTCCATAACCGATTTCAGCTGAACGAAACTTGAACCAAAGTCATCGTCCTGTATATTCATGGTATCTATCTGAAAATCCATCACAAGAAATACTTAGATGAAAAAAAAAAGTTTTTCTTAAAACGACTTAGGTATATTTTCATTAGATGCCATCTGTTTAGAGACCAGAAATTCTGCCAAAATATAGTCATCGCCCTGTATATTTACGGCGACTATCTGAAAACCCATCACAAGAAATACTTAGGTGGAGAAAAAAAAGTTTTTCCTGAAAATGTCTGGTATTTTTGGGCGCTAGCGCCAGTTGAGTATGAAATGCTCTGGTGTGAACTGGGCGCTGTGGTGGGGGGTGGGCGCTGTGTTTGAGCGCTAGCTCCCGACGCTAACTTCACATAAGTCAAATAGCTGGCTAAGAATTTTTGTATTTAATATCACTCTGGTGATTTAGCAAAGGGCTCTCCTTGGGGCTGTCTAGATTTTCAGATACTGATATGGAACTAAGTATGAAACTATGGCATGAATAATTCTCAAAATACAAAGCTAGATTATTACCTGGACCAAGTTCTACCACTTGAAGAGGTTTTGGTGAACCCATTTTTTGCCATTCATTCAGCAGCCAAATTGCTATCATCTCACCAAACATTTGTGTTATTTCTGGAGAAGTTATGAAGTCTCCAGTTTCACCAAACATATCTTTGTGCATGTAATATCCTACCATCGGATTTGTAAGAACTTCTTTCATATAATCAGCAACTGTCAAAGGACCTTTTACTTTGATTTTCTGGTAGATTTGTCTGGCTATGTAATTTTCATCTTTAACTGCCTTCCTCTTCACTGTATAATATGATCTGTAGTATTTGAAATATTTCGCAGCAAAATTTGATGGTTTTAAGTGTAAAAACATTTTGAATTTTCAAGTGACATAAGTGATTTAATTTGGTCTTTCAAATGAAAACAAATGCAACCTATTGCAACTTCATTTCAACAAAAGCAACCATGAAATGCAACCAAATTTCACAATCACTGTTATCCACTTTTTTTTTCATGGTCCATATTCCAGATGTTCACTGTGTTTTTCCATTATTCTCTTTTATCTTCTGAGACACTCAAAACCTCAGCCGAAGTCACTTTTATTTTGGGTTCAGAAAAGGGCCAAGCCAAGGTTAGAATGTTACTTCTTCTTCCTTTCGGTTTTAATGGCCTTAGCTGTCGCCGCTGTCGGTTAGTGGTTAGGTTACCCTTCTGGTTACTTACACATTAGTCATTTTTCCTTGTATGATTACGTCACGTTAACCTTATTATGACGTCACGGTTTACTTTTATTGTTTGGTTTTAGTCAATGAAATTACTTATATATCGAATAAAAGATTCATCATCTGTGAAAAAAATATATATCATAGATAGTACAGTCGTATTCAATAATGATGCAAGATGGCAGCTAGGTGCAAAAGTTTAAGAAATAATACACGTTTACTCTCTGAGTATTCAGCAACAACCCAACAACTGACTTTTATTTCCCCCAATGACAGTGTTCGTACATACGTCAATCAAGTTTCAATATCAGGGATACCAAAAGATATAATTGGCGGTTCATTTAAATAATGATTTGATATTCTCAACACCCCCACTATCAAAACATTATTTTGGTACAATTCCTAGTCTATCTAACAAATGATAATGTTTCTTAGCACATACACTTTTTGTTAACATATCAGCAGGCATAGAGTTTGTCTCTAGATATTCCATTTTAACAATCTTTTTATTTACATATTCTCTGATAAAATGATGACGCACATCAATATGTTTGGTTCTACAATGATTTACAGGATTATTAACCAAACACAAGGCACTTTGGTTGTCATTAAACATAGTCACACAAAATGAATTCTTAGTTATTTCAATCAACAAATTTCTCAAATAGATTGCTTCCTTTGAAGCTTCAGATACTGCCATGTACTCAGCTTCTGTGCTTGAAAGTGCAATTGTTTTTTGTTTAACACTTGACCAAGATATAACAGAACCACAAAGTTTAAAAACATAGCCAGTGTATGACTTTCTCTCATTTAAATCGTTCGCCCAATCTGCATCAACAAAACCTTGTAATTCTGTATCTGTTTTAAAAAATTTTAAACAATATTTTTTAGTACCTTTCAAATAACGAAGTATACGTTTTGCACATTGCCAATGAGTATCTGTGTAACAGGTGTTAAATTGGCTTAACAAGCTAACACTAAATGCAATATCAGGTCTTGTAAGCACAGCTAAATACATGAGACTGCCTATCAACATCTGATAAGGTACATCAATTTGATTTCCATCCTTCAGATAAAGATGATCTAACTTTGTTTCTAGAGGTGTTTTAGCAGGCTTACATTCGGACATATTGAATTTACACAGCAATTGATCAATATAATGTTCCTGACTAACAATTATCATATTATCTCTTACAAAACTAATTTCCATACCCAAGATATTCTTTATTCTTCCCAAATTTTTTATCTCGAATTTTGAACTGAGCTCCTTTGTTATAAAACAAATTTAATGTTTACTATTAGAGAAAACAAAGAAATCATCAACATACACTGTTATTAAGGTGACATAATTTTTATCCCTTTTAATAAACAAGCAAGGTTCATATTCTGACTGTTTATAATCAAGACATGTTAATACAGTCACAACCCTCTCATTCCAGGCCCTGGAAGATTGCTTTAGTCCATATATAGCTCTTTTTAAACGTAAAACCTTGTTCCCATCATGACACTCCATACCAACAGGTTGATACATAAAAACCTGCTCCTTTAGAATGCCATTCAAGAATGCAGTCTTAACATCTAAATGCACAGTATCAAAATTCAATTCTACAGAAATAGCTAACAGTAATCTTAATGTAGAGTGCCTAACCACTGGGGCAAAGGTTTCTTCATAATCTATACCTTGCCTTTGGGAGAACCCCCTAGCCACTAAACGCGCACGATACTTCACTTCCCCATTTGTGTCACACTTCTTTTTGAAGACCCATTTATTATCAACAATTGTGACACCACTGGGTTTATCCACTACCTCCCATGCATCATTCTTATTGAAAGCTTGCAATTCTTCAGACATAGCTTTCTGCCACATATCTGCATCTCGTCTGGACATCGCTTCCTCTACACTGATAGGATCCCCTTCACTTTCTGTACTTAATCCACACATGTACAGATGATAATCACGGAAATGCTTGGGTTTGGGTTCCCTCTGAGTTCGCCTAACATTTTCCGCTGTTTCAATTTCTTCACTAGCAGGTGTATACTCATCATCACTGTTTGATTCAGATGAGTTAGGTAGCTCTTCTTGTGGTTCCCAAGTTGTATCATTAGAATCTGTGATATCCCCCACTGAAGTGGTATCCTCTTCTAGAGGTGTTTCATCCTCGGTTTCATCAGAATGATAAAATGTTTCTTCAGGTTTCTCATTTAGAACTATTTTCACTTCTTTCTCTTCCTCAAAAACAGCTATATCCCTGCGAATGACTACTTCTTGTGTTGTTGGGTTATAGAGGCGATAAGCTTTGGATGTATCACTGTAACCTACTAGAAACATTTCTTGAGACTTCTTGTCCCATTTTAATCTCTTCTGTTTAGGAACATGTGCCATCACCTTACTGTCAAATACTCTAAGGTGACTAATATCAGGCTTTTCCTTTGACCAGATTTCTAGTGGTGTTTTTCCAGCAAGTCCTGTAGCTACTGTTCTATTGCGGACATAGACAGCCGTATTAACAGCCTCTGCCCAAAACTTCTTTTCCAGATTCGCATCAGCTAATAAACATCTTGCCTTCTTGTAGTATCCTGTGTAATGGGTTTTAGTTTGATATCCATTGTTATGTATACGGATGTTGGTAATCAAACCATTGTGGATTTTCGAGTATGTTCCCGGACGTCGGAAACATAGTCACTGTCGGGACTAACTAATTTTGTAAGTGGAATTTGTTGCAATGGCAATTTGGATTTATTAATAAACCACAAGTACAGTTTCATATTTGCATTATTGATGCCCAGTCTCCATCACTACAAATTTGGCGACGAGTGATAAGAAAATGGCAGCGGGGTCGATGATTTTATCGATATTTTCGTGAAACAACGTTTTTTTTTGGGGTTAAGATTTCCCTCGTTTTTATTTCTTGGCTAACCGGCAGTTTTGTGTGGAATACACTATGCCAGGTGGAGAAAGGGCTCAGCAGGCTGCGCCAACAGTGACAGTCATAAATACTGGTAATTTGTCGAATATCAGAATTTTCAACATTGGTGATGATTGGGAGATATTCTCAGAACGACTAGACCAGTTTTTGAAAGCCAACATGGTAGATGAATCCAGAAAGGCTTCAGTTTTGATAACGTCCATAAGTGAGGACGCATACAAAGTTTTGAAAAACCTTTGTGATCCTGAAAAACCTTTTACTAAGTCATATGTAGAGCTGGTATCTCTATTAGATAGCCAATTTAAGCCGAAAGTATCTCTTTATCGTAAGAGGGTTCAATTTGATTCACTTCGCCAAGGATCCGAGTCAATTAATGAATGGTATGTAAAGGTCAAGAAGACTGCTGCAGACTGTGATTTTGGACCAATGCTAGCAGAACGAGTTAAGGATAAGTTTGTAGCCGGCATGAAACAGGGCCACATTTTAGACAGACTTTGTGAAGAAAAACCTTCCAAAGACATCAGGGACTTGTTAGATTTGGCTCTAGCAAAGGAAGCAGCTTTGAAGGAATCTAGGGGTGTTGAGATTCATAGAATCCAACGTCAACCAGGAAACCAACTGAGACATCAACAGGTCACGGCTGATGTGAAGAAGAAAGAAGGAGAAAGTAAAGGTCAGAATGAAGAGCAGTTGTGTTTTTATTGCAATAAAGGTGAACATGATTTCAGAAAATGTAAGTTCAAAAGGTATACTTGTACTAAATGCAAGAAGCGGGGACATATTGCACCTGCATGTAAAGCAAAAATTGAGAAAAATCATTGTACTGAAAATGTTAGCTCTAGTGATGATATAGAGATATTTAATGTTGATATTTTTAGCATAGAATCAGGCATTGGTAAGTATGTTAAACCTGTCCATATTGATGTTCTGATAAATAATAAGCCCGTTCGCATGGAAGTGGACACAGGAGCAGGGTTGTCATGCTTGCCATATGATTTATATTTGAAACTGCTCTCGGAAGTTGAACTGGAACCAACTAAGGTAATCCTAAAATATTATGATGGTCCACTAGTTTATCCAAAGGGTAAAATCAAAGCTAATGTTTGTATTAATGGTATCACACATACTTTTAATTTTGTGGTTGTTGATGGTGCTAAGAAATCATTAATGGGGAGAGACATTTGGGCACGGTTTGGTCTGACATTGACAGGCACAGATGTATTATTCCAAGGTCAAAAATTGAAAACTTTCAAGGAGATTTCTGTTAATGATTTAAATGCTGAAAAAGTTATTCCTCCCATTTTAGAACCTTTGATTAATAAATATTCAAACCTATTCAAAAATGAGTTGGGAACTTATAATGGAGAAAAGGTCAAATTAGAGGTAAAAGAGGGAATTGGATCAATTTTCAAAAGACCACACCAGATACCATTTGCATTTAGAGAAAAAGTAAAACAAGAATTGGAAAAATTGGAAAAGGAAGGGGTAATAGAGAAGGTTTTAAACTCACAATATGGTACACCCTTAGTTCCAGTGATGAAGGCCAACGGCATTGATATCCGTGTTTGTGCCAACTATAAAATAACGGTCAACAAACATTTGAAGGATTTTAATTATCCACTGCCCAGGATTGAAGATATTTTTGCGGCCCTACAGGGTGGAGAAAAATTCACCAAGTTGGACTTTTTAAATGCTTATAATCAGCTAACCCTAGATGATAGTACATGTGAATTATTAGCTTGGAGCACGCCATATGGAATCTTTAAAGTCAAGCGACTGCCATATGGAACAAAACCTGCATGTGCTATTTTCCAGAGTATAGTAGAGAAAGTTTTGCAAGGTTGTAAGGGCACCGTCAATTACTTGGACGATATAGTGGTTACTGGTAGGGGCGATCGTGAACATGTTGAAAATCTATCTGAAGTTTTAAATAGGTTAGAAAA